TCCCGCCATACACCAGGAACAAAAATGATGTTCCCATCCAGGAATAATAAAACCTGGACTTTATTGTGTCTTCTGCCTAGTTTATGACCTTTTATTCCTTCCTTATAAATGGGAAAAAAATCTAATCCTTAAGACAGAGATAACATGTCTGTATTTTATCCCCCCTCCCACCTGTGGAGTTTTATCTCAGCATGTTGTCTGCATCAAACATCCACCCTCCACGTATTGACATCAATAATTTAAACGATTTAGCCTCATAGATAGATGTATATGTAGGTAAGTGTTAAGCAAACTTCATTGCCTTGATTACATAGCTCACCATGTCATAGACGCCATTTACGTGGATTATTTCCCCTGCCGGCCAAACCATTCAACCTGCCAATCAGAGCTGGTCTTACTTCCCTTGATTCATGGAATAATTTCAACCAGCCAATCGACATTGTCCTTACATTTCAATATGCACAGTTACCTCCACTCAAACTTCACCAACTAGCAGAAGAAAACAATTGGCTAAAGGTAAAATGTAGCGATCTGTTGGAGTGTGGGGGCTTTTTCATTGGATTAAATTACTAGCAGAATACCGGTGCTTCGCTACGGTTTAGACAATATAAAAAATGCGGTTTTTTTTGTCAGCAGAAAAGAACAAACAAAACCAAGCAAAACAGAACAGAACAATGGTGATTTTACAGAAGACAACAATAAAATGAGAGCAGAACAAAACATAACAAAATGGAACAAAAATAGAATAGCTGTTTGTCTATAGCTGGGGAACTTAATGGTATAGAACAGGGGTCTCCAAACTTTTCAACCCGAGGGCCGCATTAACTATCAAATATCTGTTCAGGGGCCAGAGTTTCTTTAAGGCATCTCTTCAGGGTCGTGGCGCCCCCCCCCCCCTTCCGAAGAACGTCTACCGCCCTCCCCCCCCCCCCCCAAATACGAAATATAATTTATATAGAAATATATACACATTTCAAGTGTCCACCCCCCCCCCCCTCCCCGCACCCGAGGTCCACGTTTGCTCTCAAATTGTTCTTCACGTATTTCATTCCTGAAAATGTTTGCTCACACAGGTATTTTGTTCGAAAATTTGAAAGGTACTTTGATGCAAAAGTTTTAATGTTAGGAAAGTCTTCCTTGTGCAAAAACGTATGAAAACCCATCTGCCCTTCTTTGAACATGTCTCCAAGGAAGTCATTTTCTTGCAATTCAATTACCTCCAGCTGCAGTTCATCTTTGCAACTGGGCACATTTGCTTCAAATGGGCTTTGAAACAGTCTCACTTTTTCTGCCCATGAATCCAAGTCAGAAAACCGCTACTGAAACTGCAGCTGGAGGTCTTTAATGATCTCGTATGTAAATGACGTGGGGAACTAAGTGGTTGTTTCAACCGTAAAGACCTTGCACTGCTGAAAGTGTATCAAGTTGTTAGCCTGTAAGGGGTCGGCGTGGTCGAGTCGGTAAAGCTCATGGTTGCTAAACCGAAAAGTCTCGAGTTCGAACATGACAAGTTTGTATCTAGAGGCCTTTATGTGGGTGTATAGATCAGAAACTAGATTTCACTCTGTTGCCGTTTTAGGTTCAGAAAATTTAAATGACTAGTTATGTCTGCAGCAGAGGCCAATTTCTATACCCACTCTTCATCAGACAAAAATGGCTGTGATTTGCCTTTACAATCAGGAAGTCACCGATTTCTTTTCTTAGATACTCTGCTCAGAATTTTGTGTTTGTCTCTGAACTATCTACGGTTAGATATCCTCTCTGGTAACAGTGTCATACATTTTTTTTAGGGAAGCCAGCTCTTGTGTTATGTTCAGGTCTTCACCCACACCTCTAATGAACACACGAAGTTGAGAGGTGGAACAGCTACCCAGCGACTCATCCATTGCAATTGAAAAATGGCTGAACTCCTTGAATTTTTCGCTATTAGAGTCACTATGTTTTCACCAATGTCTGCAACAAGGCGAGTAATTGTATTTGCACACAAAGCTACATTTCAAATAGTTTTGAATTTTCTGTCCAAAGCTCCTCAGCCACCTCCAACAAACATTTATTCAGTTGACAAAAAGGTCGTCGCGGGCCTGATAAAATGACCTCGCGGGCCGCATACGGCCCGCGGGCCGTAGTTTGGAGACCCCTGGTATAGAATATATATATATATATATATATATATATATATATATATATATATATATATATATATATATATATATATATATATGACTTTTACTAAGAACACACCATTTTGTACGGAGAAATATCTTACTACGAGGTTATTAAAAAACTGGAGTAGAACTTGCTTTACAAAAAGAAATATTTAAAAAAATTGATGTCAAAGTTTTCACGACAATTAATTGTTTTTATCACACCCCCCCCCCCCCCCCCCCCCCCGTCTGGAATCGAACGACTTCACAAAAGGACCCTCCAGTTTTTGCAATCCGGTATTCCTTTTACTATTAAAAAAGAAACATCTAAAAAATTAGTATTAGAAACCCTCTTTTTAGCCAACTTAATTACTTCAAGAAGGGTGTAGCGCAGATTGTAAAATTAAAATTTAGTTGATAATTATAATTTAAAACAAACAATTTAACGTTCAACACATTACCATTAGCCCAGATTTGGCTAATGACAGACAAAATTATGAAAAGGAAAATAGCCCATTAAACATATCACAAATCATGCATAACAAATCTACAAAAACTAGATAAAGTAAATATTGTTCTACTTGTGTGACCCACCCCCTCCTCGCACAAACATACACTTATGCATACACACACATACATGTACACACACCTCCACACAAGGAGGCTGCAGTATACTTATATGCTTGATGATGAAATTAACATAAATTACTTAGCAGTTACGTCCAAGCATCGAAGGTTATGCTAACATGCAAATTTCAAATGTATGTCGTGCTGATATGTTTGAGAATACATTTTTTGTTCTGTTATAGTTGCAATGGACATTAGAAAGTTGCAATGGACATTAGAAAGTTGCAATGGACATTAGAAAGTTGCAATGGACATTAGAAAGTTGCAATGGACATTAGAAAGTTGCCATGGATATTAGAATGTTGCAATTGACATTAGAAAGTTGCAATGGACATTAGAAAGTTGCAATGGACATTAGAAAGTTGCAATGGACATTAGAAAGTTGCCATGGAATTAGAAAGTTGCAATGGACATTAGAAAGTTGCAATGGACATTAGAAAGTTGCAATGGACATTAGAAAGTTGCCATGGAATTAGAAAGTTGCAATGGACATTAGAAAGTTGCAATGGACATTAGAAAGTTGCAATGGACATTAGAAAGTTGCCATGGAATTAGAAAGTTGCAATGGACATTAGAAAGTTGCAATGGACATTAGAATGTTGCAATGGACATTAGAAAGTTGCAATGGACATTAGAAAGTTGCAATGGACATTAGAAAGTTGCAATGGACATTAGAAAGTTGCCATGGAATTAGAAAGTTGCAATGGACATTAGAAAGTTGCAATGGACATTAGAATGTTGCAATGGACATTAGAAAGTTGCAATGGACATTAGAAAGTTGCAATGGACATTAGAAAGTTGCAATGGACATGACCAGGTTGACGAGAATCCTTCCATTACATTATTGACAAGGATAAAAAAAATTATTTTTTTTAAAGAATTTGCAGTCCAGGCAACCGTAAAAAATATGAAACATCAAAACTTAAACCTGAAAATAATTCAGAAATTAAATCTTTTTAGAATCAATGTTATAAGAGTTGCACATCCAGAGAACTTGAAAATAATTGTTTGCGTTTAAAGCTATATATCTATTTGTTTTCATCAAGCCTAAGTTATAACCCGATGTTTCACTTTAGTAAGACAAACTTTGATTGGCTGTACCGGAACTCCATGATCGATTTTCTGACAGCCCCTACATATCATAGTTATTTGTTTTAAAAACTTTGCCAATAAAGTTTTTAAATAATATTATGCTCTTTTAAACCAGATTACCTAACTCTGCCATTTTTTTTTTACATTTTGTATGATAGCCTATCAAATAGCAGGATGTCTTCGTTTATGTCGCCATTACAATAAAAAAGCCAAATTGGGGTTGCCTCTATTTTTTCAAATTATGCTTCATTACCGAAAATACTAAAATGTCAAATAGATTGACTTTTTTAAAGTCCGACAAAAACCAAACAGTCAGGATTTTATATAACAATACCATTTTAAACACCGCGCATGATTTTAAAATATTTAATGAATAACACTTTTTTTCTCTGCAAATTGTGCAGTTTTCAGTTGGTGTAGCCACTACCCCCCTCTCCCCGTTAATACAATTGGATGCAGCATTTTTTTTCTTGGTAGTTAGCAAATCTTTGTCACGGTGTCACACCCCACCCCCACCTCCCTCCCTCTTGACGGGATTTGTTAATTATAAGACCATTTTACAGTAAATAGTGACTAACTAAACTAGAGCCTTTTCATTCTATAAATGTTGTGTTTTACATTAGTGTCACCCCATATATGGTGTCAAATTTTAAAAAAGCTAGAAGAAATCAAATAAAAAATAAATTTTAAAAACCCGACCAAAACAAAACAGAATTATGGCTGTTCTGCAGATGTGCACACACATTTAGCGTACCTATAACGACGCCCCCAGCACAAATATCTCCTTTTTAAATATTTTATGTAATAGACAAATGTCAGTATGAGAAAGTGCTCTACTTTTCTTTGACACGAACTCTACTTCACCTGCCTTATTGTCCATCAGGTTCGACTTCCGTTGTCGGTGCAAGCGGAAACGACTGCCGTACCTGGCGCAAAACAAAAAGTCTGGATCTTCATGGACACAGGAAGTGGATATATTCATCATTAATCTGACAATAATTAGACTTGACACATTGATGTCAAATTTCGCGTGGTCGCGAAGTGTGTGCCTGGGGAATTCGCGTGGCGTGGTATCGGTGGCAACCAATCCAGGTGTCGCTAGCAGTCGCAGCCTGTTATAAATACAGCAGACGCCACCAGAACAGGAACCAGGTCTGGCACCAAGAACTGTGTGGAGCAGCTACAAGACTGTGGTAGTTCTGTCGTCATTGGTCGATTGGGGTACGCTGTCAGCCAATCAAATCTCATCCTAATTAATTGCTAGTCATTAGTCAAGGCTTTACTAATTTTGAGTTTTCTTCCATAAACTAGTTGAAGACTTATCTAGTGTCAATAGTGTCGATATATCTGTTTGCTGGAGATTTAGCTCATCTAAGTGTCCAGACTTCTACTTTAGCTGAATACTAAGCTCATCTAAGGGTCAAGACATCGAGCTTAGCTCAGAGTTGAGCTCATCCTGTGGTCAGTAGAGCTAAAATTAGCCAGAAGCCTGTGCGTGTCCGGGGTCAAATTGCTGTCATTAGGGTCCGAGTGGGCCGCGTTGCTCCAGGTTGTTCCGGCCAGATTAGCGCGGCATCCCGCAAATTGAGCGCGGTACGCAGGAAGTGTGCGGGCGTCTGGAAGATTTCTCATCCATGTTTTTGTCGGTACAGCTGCCATAGCTGTTCTTTTCACTTTTGAGTACTGGACATGGAATTATGATCCAATTACTTTTCTAAAATGTAATTGATCGGAAACTTTCCAAGTGATTTAAATATAATCATTATTATTGCAAACTTAAACTGTGTAAAATTGGCGTCAGCCAATAATAAAATTATTCTGTGTATTTCAGCGGTTCCCTCCAAACAAACAAAAGCTGTTTTTCCCTGAAACTACCCACACCACAGGATTTGTTTAATCACGTGATCACAATGTTGTCACTCGGGTAAGTTATAAACTTCCTTTCTGTATCTTGCTTTTACTTAGTTCATAACGTCCGAATGTGGGATTGCAACCAGAGTTTCTTCCAGGCATCTCTTCGGGGGGCGAAGCCCCCCCCCCCCCCGAAAAGTTTTTACCGCCCCCCCCCCCCCGAACGAAATGAAATTTATATAATTTATATAGAAAATATATACTTTTAACAGTGTCCGCCCCCCACACCCCCCCCCCCCTCGAAGAAAGTCTACCGCCCCCACGAAAATTCCAAGTGCCCCCCCCCCCCCGGAGAAAAAAGTCTGGAAGAAACACTGATTGCAACAACTCTTGTATCCAAATTGTACCCACCTCTAATGCAGCGATTCCGTTTTAACTTTCCTGACGCATTTGTATTCGATGACATTGCAAAAATATCAATTTTTAAAAATTTAATTAGTTTAAATTTATTTTTAAATTAAATTATTAAAGGGGAGAGAACAAAATGAAATACTAACTAGCGATCGCTTGGTTGTATGGTCGTGGTGGGTGAAATGTTTATCACGGTTGGCTGATTTCTTAGCAGAGCATCGAACACCAACTAGGCAGGGGCAGATAATTCTCTTTTATAGCTGGTGGCCGGGTTTCAACGACAATATTTTAGTCGTAGCCCGTGTAGTGTCAATTAATTTATCATTAGTCATTAAAAATTAAGTATACGGACGTCTGCTTTCACGCATTTAAACGGCCATTGGCGTTAATACTGATTGTGTTTTAAAGCAAGTATTTGTAGTCGCAGAGGCGTAGCTAGGGGGGGGGGGACATTAGGGGGGGGGCCGACGTTAGGGGGGGCGCCAAATTGAAAGTTTGAGGGGGGGTGCAAATCGAAAGTTTGAGGGGGGTGCAAATGAAAAGTTCGAGGGGGGGTGCAAATCGAAAGTTTGTCCCCGGGCGCCGGGAGGGGTCGCTACGCCTCTGTGTCTTCGTAGCCCATGTAGTGTCGACTGCATAAATAATAAATTCTAATCTAACCTACAACTGACCCGCAACAGAGATTTCATGAGCGACCGATTTTATTGAAGAAACGAAACTGTTTAATTTTCCAATTTTCAAAGCATTAAAAAGCTTGTGATTACAAATGTTTTTAGTTTGTTACATTCTCTGTAGGTCAATGGGTTGGTTGTCGAATCTTGTCATTTTATTTTGTCACATTTCTAACGCTTGAATTCCTTACTCACTTTTAAAATAAGTTCATTTCTAGACGATAACGCCAGAATATTGTAGGCCTACTTTTAGTATAATTAACTATTTGATCGGGTCTAATACTAATGGTTTGGGACGTTAGGAAGTCGATTTAAGATCAATTGACTCGGAAAGAATAAGGATTTACTTATTGTTATAAAACTTAAATGTCTACCGATCTGTTTTACAATATCTAGCTCCTAGATACTAACATTTAAATGTCTACTTTATCTAGATCCTAGATACTGAAATTAATAAAAAAGAACAAAATGTATTAATAATATTCATAAAGCAAACACGGTTATTACCACTCTCGATTAATTAAGACCGATATGACCACTGTATTTAATATCACTATGAATTTCGGCGTAAGAAATTATCTTTACTGCATCAAAAAGCTTCTTACGAAGTTTTATTTTTATTTTAAGTCACTTGACGTGATTCCAAAGTGAACAATAGACGTGTATGCCATAAAAGTGTTCTATCATATGCATGTTGATGTGTTTAAATGTGATAGATATCTCATTTAATAATATCTGCATTCTCCCGTTAAGCCCGGGCCCTAACCGAGTCGTTACCTCCACCCTCCCTCTAACTGTGAAACCAAATCAATGATACGATTAAACTGACATGTGCTTATAAACCTTCGGAGGAGGGGAGGGGGGGGGGGAGGGGTGGAGAAACCGCTGGGAATTTTTCGTTGGAGGGGGAGGGGGGGGGGGTTATTGTTAAAAAATATTTTCAAATATTTTCTATGTAAAGTATATAGTATATACGGGAGGCTTAGGGAGGGTGGACGTACCAGGTCCTTATATTCGGCTGTAGAATAGATGTGGTCGGCCATCGTCCAGTGTGTCAATATGTAGACCTGTAGATTCGTGTGTCCGGCACTTTTAGCCAGAGCCATTCAGTGCTGGCACCAAAGCTCCGACCAGAGTTACCGGCCATTGATGATCACATCCATATGGATAACTTCACATCCAAAGGGACCTATTTGCATATCCATAGTGATATCTTAGCCTCAGTAGGGAGCTCTCAGTTTTCAGTTTGTTTTTCTGCCTGACGAGTGAATGAATTATAAATAAAAACCTGTCCACACCCCCCCCCCAAATTTCCTGACTGATGAATACAACTTTAAGCGCCCCCCCCCCCCCCCATCTAATACAGCCACTAAACAAATGAAAGCTTTGGATCTCTGACAGAATACAAACACACGACATAATCCTTTCACTAAACTCACAAGTCCACAAAATGTATACATCTTCACATGTATTATCCCTCCTCCTCCTCCCCCCTCCCAGCCTCCCCTATCTGATCTGTCTCAGCCCCCAAGGTAGGTGACGTCATCACCGATGACCAACTAGACCGTAGAAGTTAATACACAATCATTGGGGTCCTGGGCTAATTGTGTGATTGTAGCGCATGCGCACTAGCTCGTGGTGGTCCAGAAGTTGAAACCACGCATCGCTTTTGCTGCCGTGTGCAAAGTTGGCCGAAATATTTGTCCAAGACATTCGCCAATTATTTATTTTTTTGTACCACACACTTTTATGTGGCGAAAACTAAATTTAATCAGTGACGCCACATTAGCAGGTTGTTTTAGGTAGTACCGAAAAATTAAATTTGAAGAATTAAATTGATTTTAAGATGGCAAATTTTGTTTTTGAATTTGTTTTAATTTTATTGCAAAGTTTTAGTTATCTCAAAATAAATTTTTATTTCTCCGTCTAACGAAACCAGTTTGTGTTATTATAGGCAAGTTGTACTTTAATTTTGCAACTAGGTTTAGCCTTTGATGAATGAAGCCTAGGTTAATATAGTACACATCCGTGTAGTCTAAAGATGTGTAGCCTAAAGATGTGTGGCCTAAAGATGTGTAGCCTAAAGATGTGTAGCCTAAAGATGTGTGGCCTAAAGATGTGTAGCCTAAAGATGTGTAGCCTAAAGATGTGTAACCTACAGATGTGTAGCCTAAAGATGTGTAGCCTAAAGATGTGTAGCCTAGGTGGTCATGTTGATTCAGATGTCATGTCGATTTAAAGACAAAGTTTATACAATGGCCACGAATATCAGGACATGAGTCTCAGAAAAACATGAATATCGTTTACAACAGCCAACAAAATAAATGAATTATTCATGTAGAAAATATCGAATGATTGGAGTGAGCAAAAACTGATTCATCTGCAGAGTGTGAGTTTCTTTTGTTGGTGTCTGTTGTTGGTGTCTGTTGTTGGTGTGTCTTGTGTGCTGTTGGTGTATGCTGTTGCTGTCTGATGTTGCTGTCTGTTGTTGCTGTCTGTTGTTGGTTTCTGTAAGATGATTTTGTTGAGAAATTTGTATTTTACAATAATATGGATGATTTTCTACACAAATTCTTATTTTACAATAATATGAATGATTTTTTCAAGAGCAATTTGTATTATACATAAGTGTAGATAATGATCTAGAATTAATAATATGATCATCTGGAAAAAAAAATTCATTTCTCATGTGACATGTAAATTGTCACAAAATTGTTGAACCTCATGATCAGGCACATACAGCCTACGGACATATTTCTCGCGCTCAACTAGATGACGTGAGGTCAGCCTCGTTCTCAACTAGATGACGTTCTGATGGCTAGGCCAAACACTTAAGACGTCTGCTATTTCCTCTCCATTCCCAGTCTATTTTTAGCCGAGAAGTCCGTTTATTATTTGTTTGGATCCACATACCATTTGTATTTGTCTAATGGTGGAGTAAGTTGGGCTATAGGTCTAGTAAGTTGGGCTACAGGTCTAGTAAGTTGGGCTACACGTCTAGTAATTTGGGCTACACGTCTAGTAAGTTGGGCTACAAGTCTAGTAAGTTGGGCTACAAGTCTAGTAAGTTGGGCTACAAGTCTAGTAAGTTGGGCTACAAGTCTAGTAATTTTTGGCTACAAGTCTAGTAAGTTGGGCTACAGGTCTAGTAAGTTGGGCTACAAGTCTAAAGCTAAAGAAAATAGAATATTTCTGATTACTTGCACGAGTGGCGATTGAGGGCTGGGGTGAAGTTGGGTCTCTTCTACTTCTGTCCAAAAGAGAAAAATGAGGGGAAAAACAGTAACAGGTCTAACCACTGGCTGAGTGTTCTGGTAAACAAACCAGAGGCGTGGCTGGGGGAGGGAGGTCAGTCCAGGCGTCGGGGGGGGGGGGGGCGACAACATGGGTGGAAAAAAGGGAATCTCATTTTGAGCGGCATTACTGGATTCTCCAGTCAAAGAAAATAGACTGCTACAGATCGTTAAAAAATGATTTAACGGTTTACAATGGTTTGTGTCAAAGAAAATAAATACGTTGAGACAGAGGCGTAGCGACCCGTCCCTGCGCCCTGGGACAAACTTTCGATTTGCACCCCCCCCCCCTCCTCAAACTTTCGATTTGCACCCCCCCCCCCCTCAAACTTTCGATTTGCAATCCCCTCCTCAAACTTTTAATTTGTTTTTCCAACCCATTTTGGCGCCCCCCCCCCCCTGAGGTCGGCGCCCGGGGACATATGTTCTCCCCCCCCCCCTCGCAAAGCCTCTGCGTTGAGACATTGACCGTTAAAACACCCAAAAGCTACCCCCAACATGGTGCTCAGATAGTTTGCCCGAATGTCAATGTGTGTCGCTGTGGTTAACGTAGAATATCTTCTGTCCACAGAAACTTGTCGGTGACGAAAAGTCTTCTGCTAGCGTTAGTCATGTGCCTCTCCGTCAACAGTTTCCCTCAAATGTCTGGGGGGTTTGGTGCAGCCTACACACAAAATGATGACGTCAGCCAACGCTCCAAGCGCTATGGTTACATTTCCTGCCACTGCTGTTCCAACTCTTTCAATAGCAATTGTTGTTTCCAGTGCATGAAAAGGTGAGCTAGTGAACTTAGGTTACAGAAGTAAGCTGTATATATATATATATATATATATATATATATATATATATATATATATATATATATATATATATATACATATATATATATATATATATATATATATATATATATATATATATATATATATATATATATATGTATATGTATATATATATATATATATATATATATATATATATATATATATATATATATATGTATATGTATATGTATGTATATATATATATATATATATATATATATATATATATATATATATGTTCCCCCGCAACAAATTATGTACAGTTCACTGGTAACAGCAACCAGAAATTGGTGATGCACAACTTCACCGTCTAGTCTGACTTAGAGGGCCGGTCTCTACATCAGACTTTAAATATTTTTAAAAAAAAATCATCTCCCCAATTGCCAAAACATGTGTGGGGAAAAACATGTGTGAGGAAAAAACATGTGTGGGGAAAAAATATGTTTGTGCAAGCTTTTTAAATAATTAAATGTTTGTATTCGTTGTCATCCTTATTGTATTTAACAAAGCAAGATTAGAATGAACACTATAATTAATTCAGTTCTTTGTGGTGATGAAGATACTAAGAAACTGCATCTTATTATAATTAATTTGTTTTTCAAGAGTGATAAAATGTCAAAGTTAATTAATATTGGTTTTCAAATGTAAACAGAAATATTGCCTTAAAGTACAAATATTTTTTTTAAGTTCTATGCAATTTCTAAAAGAAATATTAAAATTCTTAAAATATTAAATATTAATTTGTTTTCCTTTCAAATATTAAAAAATTAGTGTAAGGCTACACAAAAAAAGTTTGTCATCCACATCAACAATAGTTGATAGGTGCCCCTCATGACAAAATCCCTTGAAATTGTATTCTTAAGTTTCTGTTTTAGTTTCGTTCCGTGCGAACCAAATTATCTTTATAAGTCTTTCGTCTACACATTTTCGAAGTCAATTTATAAACCATCGTATTAACAATGTTTTAAATTAATTCATGAAATTAATTTTAATTAGTTAATTAGGCCTAATGAAATTTTCAAATGTTTTCAGTCTTGGTCTAGCCAAACGATCAGCACCCAATGACGTCATGACGCCGTGGGAACAGCCCAGAGCCTCATTCGATTGGATGGACGCTGACCTTGACCCAGATTTTATGGAAGATCAGCTGCAATAGCCAACTTACACAAGCAGAAACAACAACAGAATATTTAAATAAAAGTTTGAAAATGTTGATTTTGGTCCAAATGTTACTTCATTAAAAACTATCGCCTCAAAAATTTTTAGAAGTATCATTAAAAAAAATATTGCCTAAAAATAGATTGGGGTTTTCCTACAAAATGTTTCTAAAAACAATCCAAATAAATTAATTTTTCTGACAAATTATCATTTTCTGTATTTTTTTTTTCAAATTTAAATTGTACCATAAAAATTCATAATGAAACTTTGTTTTTGTCTACTTGTCATTAAGTGACTTAATTAACATTACAAGTGTATCAAAATGTGACATTTACGACATGCAGCTGAGGTTCGAACCCACGCTCTTGACAGCACCATGCGATTGAAACCCTAAAGAGAACCAGTGGTTTTCTTCCATCTTTAATCAGAAGGTCTAAGGACGCTGCCAGCTAATGCCGTGTGTGACAGGTTCGAATCCAGTCTTCCCAGCAAGACAAGATATCTGCTTCAGATGTCATGCTGACCTCTGATCGACCTATCAGACCTGTGATGTCATGTTGATCTACCACAAGTTTCATATACCATTGTTTGATGCCAGTTGATTCCATTAAAAACAAAGAACGATAACTTGAGATCATGGGACGTTCAAGTCACGTGATAAAAGTTGTTGTGTTTTTTTTTTAGATGACAGCCGTAAGAGATAAACATCTTCACTGGGGGGGGGGGGGGAGTGAGGTTGGGTTAGGTGGGGTGGGGGTGGTGGGGAGGAGTGGGGCCTCTGGCAGCGTGGATTGGATAGAACAGGGTTTATGATGTCATAAACTAATTAGTCCTCTGTCTCGTCCTGTTGTCTGACGGTAATTACACCTGCTAATCAGATAATAATAACGGTGTACTCAATAACAGATAATAATAAAAGTGTACTCAACAACAGATAATAATAACAGTGTACTCAACAACAGATAATAATAACAGTGTACTCAATAACAGATAATAATAACTGTGTACTCAATAACAGATAATAACTTTCTATAACAGTGTTGTTTGTATCCTAACTCATCCGTTCTAATCCAAACAGATAATTTACACTATAAAATGTTAATCTCAAGTTAATGATAAATAATTCACATTTGTACTTCTTAATTAAGCAGCCAAATTAATAAAAGAAAGCCAACGATAATTAATTTATTTCTAAAGAGTAAAAGTCATGCATATATTGATTGGATTACGATAAACTTCATGCTAGAGAACTCGCCCATTCCTATGTCAACAATAAACGCATGATTCTCCAATGACAAATTTCTAACTGTGAAGTGAGTGATGTCCCAGAGGATTTTTGAACAAGTTGAGACGGCTCAGACGACAAGTGGCAAATATTTTTTTATTGACAGTCTTGAAACCGAAACGTCAAAACACAAAGCAGTTTTTTAATATTGCAGATACCCCGTCTTAATCTACTTTAATCTTGCAGGTGTGCTAAACCTCGTCTTAATCTACTTTAATCTTACAGTTAATCTGTCCAAAGCTTCTCGACATTGAGACAGAAATTCCGGTAAGATTCAGAGAAATGAATTCACGCCTTGCAAATTTTAAACAGTGATGGTGTTTTCTTTGCTATAACCCTATTTTGTTATTATTATTTTTTTAAAACAAAAATCTAAAACAGTAATTTTAACAACACATTATTTAAATACTAAGAGCGATAATTCATGGCTTCTTGGACAACACACATATTTATATGTTATCCCCCTTTAATTATAGTGTGTTCTGTATGACAGACGTAATCTTATGAATTATAGTCACATTAGTATTCATGACTTTTGCAAAAGCACAAAAAGATGTGTGACTTACTGGATTATAAAGCGAATTAATATAAAATATTTACTGTTTTCGAACCCCAGAAGCATATCTTCTTCATATATGTTCAACCCCCCCCCCCCCCCCCCCCCCTCTCAACTTGTCTACCCCGCCTTAAGTTGTCTTTATTCCTTGAAAGGTTGAGATAAACGAAGAAATAATCCTCAATTAATCCGCATTCGATGATATAAATTAGTCTTAACTCGATGCTTAATCTGTCTTATTTTGTGGAATCTCACCAAGGCTTTAAGAAATATTGAGCTCTGAGCTTAGTGTAGCTCTCTAGGCCCAGCTAGACAGGCGATTATCGGTCTGATTTAATTGACAACGTCTCCGCTTAGTTAAAGGCAAAAACAAGAGTAACAAATGCTGAATTGCATTACATATTTAAGCGGGCAAACAGATACACCAATTGTATGTCTTAAATTCTTAAAGCCAGCTAAGATTCTAAAAGCAAGTTTAGATTCTAAAAGCAAGCTAAGATTCTAAAAGCGAGTTTAGAATCTAAACAAGTTAATAAAAAGTCTAGTGACAATTTAAGCGCAATTTCCTTAATTAATTTTTTGTGACCGAACGAAAGGATATTTTTGAAAACTTTCTTCGGCAATATTGTTCTAAATTATGGCTGGAATCGATTGGTAAATGTTTCAAGTCGCTAATTGGTTTGGTTGTCGAGATATGGGCAAAAAACTGCATTTTTTTCGAGGTTTTTCGGCTTTTCCGGGAAATCCAGGAAGGAATTCCGGGATTTTTTTTGGCCCACAATCATCCTCGGAACTTGCTTAACATATTTGCTTTGGAACTAGTTCTCGATATTGCTTCGTTGAGGAGGAGATACGACTTAAAGCTGCGTACACACATCGGACACACATCCATCCTTGACGAGTTAATAATCGCAATTGTCAGTATGGAAATTGCGCTAAAAAGCGAGTTAAGATTCTAAGAGCCAATTCAGACTTTAAAAGACTCGAGAGGATATAAAGTCATCAAGGAACCCCAGAGCTAGGTCATTGACCCAAGGTGTAGTAGATTTGATGAATATAGGACACACACGCTCGCTACAGAACAGATTACTACATTTAAAGTTGGAAATCTCGTATGCTGGAAATTTCTTGTTTTTAACGCACCTGAGCTTACCCAGTTTCATTCAGTACCGTGCATTAACCCGCTGTAGGTTCCAAATAGTAAAATTGCATCGTGTACTCAAGTATTTTTAAAACGGCAACCATACGCATGTATTAGTACAAATAATAAATGCTATACACCTTTATAAGTGCTTGCAAAAGTTGGGGTAGAGGTGGATGCAGGAGGCGTAGAGTTGACCTGGAGAAGACAGAACAAACCTTGTCCAGCTGTCCTTTAAAAAAAACTTGCTGTCCGAGATAAAGATTATATGGGACTCAAACTTTCGACTTTAAAAAAAATACTTTTAAAAACAGGTTTCTATATATATAATTCTCTTCTGGGAGACGCTAGAAAACAAGCTGTAAGCGCGCTCCCTACCACCCCACTCCTACATGGTCTGGTGAGCTGTGGTTCACGTTAAATGTTTACATTCGTAGAGCCGGGTTTAGTGACGGCTATGAGGGGCAGATAATTTAGTTTGAAACGATTTTAAACTTAGGGGAGGTAACTAAGAGGAGGCTGCTTTCACGGGGGGGGGGGGGGGGGTGTAGCGTAGGGGTTGGGGGAAAGGAGGATGGGGGTAGGGGTTGGGGGAAAGGAGGGTGGGGGTAGTATCGTTTTTAACTACCTACTGATAGAGATAGTGTTTTAAAGCAAATATTTTCAGTGGCAGCATTGGTACTGTCGAATCCACAAATTATGAATTACTGAAAAGTAGAAAATGAAACAACTAAATAGCGGCATATATGAAATGCATACATTTTATTTTAAATCAGTTTTAAGCTGTTATTTTATTTTTATTTTCTGTGGCTCAACAGCACCAAGGCACATGACGTCACTTTGATACATTGATTAATTCAAACTAATTAGATTTTTTGTTCACTGTAACACATGGGCTGACGCTGTCAAATATTCACACAAAATCGTGTGTGTGCATGTGTGTATGTGCGTGTCTGTGTGTGTGTCTGGGGGGGGGGGGCACATGGAACAGTATAAATTTACTGCTTCAAATCTTACGGCTAGAAATAGATTTTTGGATTAAAGTTTGAAACGTTGAAGTTGGGAACTTTTGCAATTAAAATCAACAAAGAACTCAGCTCGACAACTGCGCGACAGATGTTAGTAGTGTTTCTATTTTGAGAGAAATTGTGTTTGTATGGGGTGGAGGCGGCTACAAACTTCAGATAAACCCACACGTATTTTTATGTATGGTATGGGATGGATGTATTTCAACCAATTAAGCGGACACACATTCCTCCATTTATGATAATCAACAACGGGGGCGATAAATACACTTTTGACAGATTTTCTTTTTCTACGTGGGGAGGATGTGTATGGGGGGGGGGGGGGGGGTGTAACATGGAATAAATTGAAAAAATGTGTGGGTATAGAGGCGGAAACTGAACAAGTTACACAACACATGTGGTATTGTACTAGGGTAGTGTGGTATGGTACTGTGGTAGTGTGGTAGTGTGGTATGGTACTGTGGTAGTGTGGTATGGTACTGTGGTAGTGTGGTAGTGTGGTGGTGTGGTAGTGTGGTATGGTACTGTGGTAGTGTAGTATGGTACTGTGGTAGTGTGGTAGCGTGGTAGTGTGGTATGGTACTGTGGTAGTGTGGTAGCGTGGTAGTGTGGTATGGTACTGTGGTAGTGTGGTATGGTACTGTGGTAGTGTGGTATGGTACTGTGGTAGTGTGGTATGGTACTGTGGTAGTGTGGTATGGTAATGTGGTAGTGTGGTATGGTACTGTGGTAGTGTAGTATGGAACTGTGGTAGTGTGGTATGGTACTCAGGGAGTGTGGTATGGTACTGAGGGAGCGTGGTATGGTACTGTGGTAGTGTGGTATGGTACTGTGGTAGTGTGGTATGGTACTGTGGTAGTGTGGTATGGTACTGTGGTAGTGTGGTATGGTACTGTGGTACTGTGGTAGTGTGGTATAATACTGTGGTAGTGTGGTACTGTGATGGTGTAGTATGCTACTGTGGTAGTATGGTACTGTGGTAGTGTGGTATGGTACTGTGGTAGTGTGGTATGGTACTGTGGTAGTGTGGTATGGTACTGTGGTAGTGTGGTATGGTACTGTGGTAGTGTGGTATGGTACTGTGTTAGTGTGGTATGGTACTGTGGTAGTGTGGTAGTGTGGTATGGTACTGTGGTAGTGTGGTACTGTGGTAGTGTGGTATGGTACTGTGGTAGTGTGGTACTGTGGTAGTGTGGTATG